TAAAGTCTCTATTGTATGTTTCTCTTAGTGACTCCGACGATAATCCCCGACTAGGATCCCGTTTTGCATTTTTTAGGTTAGAATCCCTGTATTCCCATTCAATTTCTATTATCTCAATTGCTAAGATTTATGGTGAGAAATGTTGAAAACTTCAACGAGAGTCCACAAGTTAGATGTATTTGTATGCATCATTTTTGTTAGTTTTATCCCCATTTTATATCACAATCGATATCATATGCCACAACCAACCAAACACCCCACAAGTGCAATTCTTTTCCCCCCTCTTACACTTGTCATATATACTTCTTACAACACCTTACTTCAAACCCCGTGCAATTCACAACATTTCCAAACATGTATACATTTGCCATTAAACAAAAAATATATGATCTTCGAACAAAAACAGAGATTGATAACAATCGTATCTAACCTAACTAATCAAAAAATCATTTTGTTAAATCAATTTGGTGTTTTGAACTTTTTAAATAAATCAAGTTGTAACATCATCTACTGTAAGTTGGTCCCATTTAAACCAACTTAGCCAGCAAGTTTAATGAGATAGATTGATGAGAAAAAGGAAAATGGGGTTTGGATGCTATCATAATAAAAGAAAATGCAACATGATGTGGAGTTCAGGAAAAGACAAATAGGATGTTAACATTGGTTGGGTTTATCGACAAATGACATAAAGAAGATATAGAGGTAGGGTAGTAATTACGATCTTCAGAGGGGACATATAATATCATTTTGATTTGGGTTACCAAGAATATAATGAATATAACTTTGTTCATCTCTCACGACCACACAACCATCAATCGATTTGCTTCTCAGATCTTTTTTTTCTTTCTATTTGGTCTCTCTTTCTCATTAAAAGGAAACCCATTCTCAAAGTGTAACAATGTGAATTTTCAAAACAAATTTTTCATTTTTGCAAACATCAAAACCATCGTTTAATATTCTGAAACCAAATGTGTAACAATGTCATCATAACAAAATACACCCCATGATCATAAAAACAGTTCCTTCGTCAGTGTGTACAATCACGACGGCGCCTTCCCATGGTCCTCGCTAGTACCTGAAACACATAACACAACAACTGTAAGCATAAATGCTTAGTGAGTTCCCTAAAATACTACTTACGCACATACGCCTTTCCAGGCCCTGGCCTTCCGGTCCATGTGTCTTAGGGGACTTCTATCCCGACTCGGTAAACCTTCCGGTCCTACCTGCGTCAACTTTACGGTCCACATCACAACGCCTTCCGGCCCATATCATATATGCCTTCCGGCCATAACATAATGCCTTCCGGCCCATATCAAACATAGCACACATAGCACATACAAACGATTAACTTATCATATACAGCACATACAACTCATAACATATCCGACCTTCCGGTCACACAATAAAACCCTTCCGGGTACAGTATAGTGAGAAAACTCACCTCGTGGAAAGTTTAGAATCTCGCGTACTCGCTATCTCCAAATCCCAACGAAGACTCAACCTCGCCTAATCATAACGAATATTATTTTAATTAATATAGACTTCCACATCTAGACTTTACCCCTTATCATCATTCCTTAGAGGGTAAAAGACCATTTTACCCTTCCTTGACTCAAAGTCCACATGTTGACCAAAACCCTAAAAGTCAACATTCCAGTACGCGGGGCGTACCGCTTGATGTACGCGAGAGGCGTACATCGCCAACCCAGAAATCGGGGTCTCCACCAAGTACGCTGCGCGTACTGGGAGTTACGCCCAGCGTAACCTTCAGTTCTAAACACTCTTTATTTTTTGTCTTAATCGGTTAAGCCATTACTTCAACTTCTAGATCCGGATTTATTTAAGCATCTTTACCCATAAAGTCGAAACCTTTAAGCCTTGGCATGGTTGTAAAGGCTCCTACACTCCTTAACATCTTTCTATTCCAACTCAAGGATCTAGATCTCATGCATAGTTAAACATTCACGTCCAAGATTACATTTTTATGAGTCTACAACTCAAATAGACTATAAATATGATGGATCTAAGCTATTGGAGACCATTTGCTCATAAAGTCTCCACCTTTGGGACCAAAACCCTAGAAAATGGTCCATAAAGCATACCACAAGAACTACAAGTCAAGATCTGAACTTTTTACCTTAGAATGAAGCTCCAACCTTTGCTAAGCCCGGATCTACACTTGAACACCAACTTCTAGCCTTCCCAAAGGATTCTTCTTCTCCTTTTCTACCTTGAAATGACACCACCAAGCTTAGAACACACACAAAAGGGCTAGGAACGAAGGAACACTTTCTTGGGGTTTCTTTCTGAGGGATGGTGGCTGGGGAATCAAGCCATCACATTCCTTTTATAGCCAACCACCACAATTAGGGTTTTTGTGTCTGGATCGGTTACGCCCAGCGTAACCTTGGGTACGCCCAACATACCCGAGGGTGAACGCGTTTAAATGAAGCGCGCGAGTACGCGCAGCGTACTCCTTGTACGCCCAGCGTACTCGCTCAACATGCAAAACCCTAAATGGCAACAATTTAAAGATGAAGGGCTAAATAGAAGGGTACCTGGATTTTGGGCTGTTACACAAAGGGCTTCAACAAGGGTTTTAGACAAAAAGTAAGGAATATAGATTTAAGGGTATACACTAGGGATGAGAAGTTGGTCCGAAAACCCGAACTGAATCAAACCAAATTAGGCCAGAATAAGCAATTTGATTCTGGTTTGAGTTATCTATATTATGCTTATTCGGTTCGGGTTACCCAAATAAGAGATTATTCGGTTCTAATACCCGACCCGAATAAGCATTCATCGTCCCCTTTCTCTTATTGATAGAAATCAAAATCACGATTTACACTTCTATCATCGTCGTTCATAATAGAAAAAAACCCTACACTGGTTCTTGTCGTTTCAAAATTAACCAATCTTCTCAACTATTTCCAAACTCGAAATCATTTATGTCAAACCTTCCTCTTGTTTCGGATTTTCAAAAATTGACCATTCCTATTGTCTCTAAGGATTCACCAATTCCTACTTTGTTTAGTCATGAAAAATTAGGCTCCAACTCAAGAAACTCAAGTAAGAAATTAATTATCATTATATTAATCTATTATGTAAATGCTATTCTTGCAATGTGTTATTGTGTTATGTTGGTCTTTGAATGTTTTACGTTGATGTGTAAAAGTACATTGTTATTATATTATTCGGGTTATAAAATCCTAATACGGTTTATTCGTTTTTTCGTTTATATTAGATCATTGATCATCTTGTACATGTTATTCGGTTATTAACTGAACCGAACCGAATCGAACTTTTATTGATTAATTGGTCCGGTTTTCGGTTCATACAATTTCTTTATTCAGTTTTTAGGTTATTCGGGTTTCGGCCGGTTCGGTCTGGTTTCGACCCGAATAACATCCTAATATACGCAATAGTTAACATCTTCAAAACTTATTTATTTTGCCACATTGATAAAAAAGTTATCTTTGAAATTTTTCTCTATTGCACAAGTTTTCTTAATAGTTTGTTTTTCTAATATATTAAACATGTATAATGTCCTAGAAATGTTTTATCGTGTAGTTATAAATATGAAAAACTTTAAAGTAATATAATGATCGTTATAGTTTAATATTTAAAATTTATGTCATTTTCATCGACTTAAAAGAATACCTCTAAAATAAAATTTTCTATACAAATATTAATTTTTATATTATATACTTAGTATATTAGATTAATCAATCAAAAATAACAAAGATATAAATATAAAATACAATTAAAGATATTACATGCAATATCATAACAAATAAATCAATGTTTTAATATTAAGCGGTCAATAGATAATAACAAAAAAAAATACTCAAATACTATTTTAAGTGGTTATACATAGCTATATGGTCCGATTATAACCATTTTCCCTAATGGATTTTATAAAAAAAATTTATAGGTTCTATCTTTAATTTGGATAATCATATTTCATATCATATTATAGCTCACATTAGATGTATAAAATATTATATTTATATAAATAAGGATATAAAAGTCAACTATATGGGATTATATTTAGAATCACTGTAGTAACAAATCATAAAAAGTCTTAAGTAAAGATGCTTTAGTGGAGAACATGGAAGATGAGGTGTCCGTCCGTCGACATATTATTATTTACTAATTATAGTTTTACTAGTTGTGAGAAACCTATATTATACGGGTTGATTAAAACAAAATGTTAAATACAAACGATTAAATAGAAAATTTATTTGAATTTGAATATGAAATAAGTAAAAATTATAAAAAAAAAAACATGCAAAAAATAAATAAATTAAAATTATGTGTTTAGTGTGTGCTAAACGGGTTAATTATTAAAAAAAAAGTTAAACATAAAGGTTTAAACTGTAAATTTATTTGAAATTGAATTTGAAATTTAAAATTTAAAATTAATAGTCGTTATGGTAGGTTTGATTTATGGAAACTAAATTATTTTAATGATATATTGAAAATGCAAATTAAAGTTGACAAGTGGAAAATAAATATATATCTCAAATTATAATAAAATGGCATATGGTTAATTTTATGAGAGAAGGACATGTGGCAAAGCCATTTTCATTTATTAAAGTAGATTTACATTATTGAAGAAGGAAACACAAAATTAAAAACCATGCCATCTATCCTAATTCTAATAAATAAGTAGAACTCGGCCACGTGACATTCTCCCAGCCCCCCAAAATAGAGTTTTCCCGCTCATTTTTTCTTCTATATTTACGTAAATGCCATTGAATCCGAAAATTGAATAAAAGTTCAAACTGATGCAATATATCAGGAAATTTTAGCTGTCAACTGCATTCAAAATATTCATGCATTAATTTTAAATGAATAAAGATTATGGAAATAATTTGAAAAAATATGTTAATGAATAATCAGATTCGAAAATCACAATTAAATTTGAAAGTTTGTTTATTTTGATTGCAAATTCAATATATTGCAATCATTAAATCCCTAAAAATCTGCAGTATTTTTCAGCAAACGTAAATATCATTTATACGGTTATTTTGTTTTTACCATTCTGCTCCATAACAATTATGCTCCATAGAAACCACAGCAAACGTATTCTTCTTCATTCTTTGTTATTCTGCAACGCTTCAAGAATTAAATATCAGGTTAGTGTATTCAAAAATCAGAATTACCAATATTTCTATTTCCTCCATGTTCTTATTTACCTGTATCTATCACGTTCTCATTGTATGATTTCTATTCTTCTTCTTTTTTGTAATTCTTCTTAATCGTCTACTTCTTCTACCTTTTCAGTTTAAAAGACGAAAAACTAATGAACATTACAAGTTCATTTTCTTTAAAAAAAATTAAAAATAGTCTTTTTCAGATGTGCACAGTAACTTTTTTTATGGTATGAAATTTTAAAATTTGTTTGTTTTTATCTAAATACAATCTCAAAAAAATTTAGAATTTTAAAATTTATGAGTACATTAAGTCAGTTGTTATTGTCATGTGTTGATTTTTAATTTTTCTGTTTTACTCATTGTTATGTTATCTGTTAGTGTTAGTATGTTGCAGGGGCATTTTCGGTATAATTGTCGTTTTCATGTTTATTATATATTTGTGTTCCATCTTATTATATAAACTTTTATTCAATCTAAAACATTATTTCATATGAATTATTTGTTTTTGTTTGTATTCCATTTTATTATAAAATGAATTATTCAATTTAAAAATTTATGAGTACATTAAGTCAGTTGTTATTGTCATGTGTTGATTTATAATTTTTCTGTTTTACTTATTGGTTAGGATGTTCTGTACATTTTAAAAGGTTGCTAATTTTTCTTACAATTCTATAATGATTAAATTTATTGCAGAAAATGGAAATAGGAAATAAGGTTTACCTAAATAACATTGACCAGATAGATGAAAAATCGCATATCAAGGTTCGGGTGCTTAAAATTTGGAACTTTGTCAGAAATAATAAAGTTTGTTCCATTGAAATGATCATCATGGATGAGGAGGTTTGTTGTATTTGATATATTTTTTATTCATCATTCAATATTAGACATGTTTCATGAACATAATAATTTTTAATTTTTTTTTAAACAGGGTACACAATACCAAGCTCGTGTCTTCAATCAGAATTTCTCCAGATTTCGTCATCTTTTAAAGGAAGATGAAAGTTATATAGTTATAAAACCCAATATGGCTGCTGTTACTAATGGTTTTAGTTATACAGGTCATAAACAGACCTTAACTTTGGATTGGAAAAGCATCCTAAAAAAATGTGATGATTTCTCGGGTCCGGTCAATGGATTTATGTTTGTTGACTTTAATTCTATCATAGAACAAACATGCCCAAAAGACACATTCTATTAATTTTGTCAATCTTAAAACAACATTAACAATGACATAATTATTTTTTGTTTTAGGTATATAATTCCAATTAACGTACAAGATTGTACTGGAACTATTGGATTGACTCTTTTTGATAGGGAAGCAAGGAGGTTGTTAAATATAAGTGCCTACGAGTTGAAAAAGATATATGATGCGGTATATTATTCATACCTTTAAAATCAGAAAACATTTACTTAATTTTTTTAATTTATTAAAATATATCTTACAGGCCGGAGACAGTGATGCCCTATTTCCAATGCAACTTAACGTGTTGAAAAACCGCAAGTTTGGTTTTGTTGTAGATATTACAGAATACAATGTCAACAACTATAATAACATCTACACAGTTCTCAGAGTTACAGAAGATATGTCCATTGTTTGTGAATTGGAAAGTAAAATAGAACTTATGGTATGTAATTTTTTATTGTTGAAAATTTACAATTCTTTAATGTTAAAGTACATAATGATTAACATATTTCCATTTTATTTTTTAAAGTATTCAATCTGTCTCCTTAAATCAAGTTGCTTTGGAATCCGATGATGTTGTACAGCCTGTTCAAAAGGTTTTTCATTTTATTTTATAAACTTTTAATTATATTAGTTATTTTTTTTAGGAATCAAACATTTTTTTTTTTTTAAATTTGGATGTGATCTCACAAACAGACGAAAGTTTTACACCCTCAACAGTTGATAAGTCAACCGCAACAAGTCCTTGCAAAATATCAGGTGATTTGAAACGCAACCTCCAAGAAATTTATGATGTTGATTCTGGATATGATTTAAGTTCAACTAAGGCTAAAAGAAAGTCAACCGCAGAGGAAACTCCACTCTTGATTCCAAAAATTGAAAAGTGAGTTTCTATCGGTTATAAGACACATTTAATATATTTTGATCATTTGTTTTGGTTATAAAGATATTTTAATTGCTTGGTATGATTTTTATTTTGGGGTATTTAGGATGTCAAATATTATTGGTTTTGAATATTTTTGGATACTTTTATTGTTTTAAATTGGACAAGTTAGTTGATTTTGGTTATAACTCAAATAAAATATATTGCCCCTAACTTGATAAGTATTTCATATATCGCAATTAACAATTAAGACAAATCAATCAATCAATCAATTTGTATAATAAAAATGCGAAATTCTTAGCTTTCTTCCTCAATTCGCATTCTACTGTAAAATTCGCATTCTTCATTCACCCTCTTTCTTCGCATGTTCCAGTCATTTTTTTTTAAGTTCATTCGCATTTGAGTTGTTTGTCTCACCAAATGCGAAATTAATATTAACCATAATCACCTTCGCATCTTTAACCCCAATCCATACAACCTCATATGCGAAACCCAATTTTGATTTGTATTACCAAATGCGAACATTTTTGCTTTTACACGTGAACTGCATTTGACTCCAATATTGAACAAATCACATTTCACAGTCCTTCTTGACTTCGCATTTTTCTTCACGAATAGTCCCTCAATCAATAACCCAATTAACTCAATTGCGAATCCAAAATCAAAACTTATCTGTTTTCATATGCGAACCCAACTGATTGGCTTTTCAAAATCAAATTCGCAACTCCAAATCGTTCGATTATTCGCCCCAATTCCAAAATCAAATAACTGATCCTTCGTATGATTCATTTTAATAACCAAGGCTTCGTTCCAGAAAACATCGAATTTAACAGTTATTCGTTCCCACAATCTTTAACCTCCGTTTAAAATCGATCCCTGTATACAAACCCAATAACCAATCGAACACATACCATTCGAAAACAATAATCATTACACCCTTCAACAGATTTGACATCGCATTTCAAAACAATCGATCTTACTTCATCTGCTTGATATATCGCAATTAACAATTAAGACAAATCAATCAATCAATCAATTTGTATAATAAAAATATTGCTATATATGTAAAGACCATATTACCCCTAACTTGATAAGTATTTGATATATCGCAGTTAACAATTAAGACAGATAAATAAATCAATCAATTTGTATAATAAAAATTCGAAATTCTTAGCTTTCTTCCCTAATTCGCATTCTACTGTAAAATTCACATTCTTCATTCACCCTCTTTCTTCGCATGTTCCAGTCATTTTTTTTTAGTTCATTCGCATTTGAGTTGTTTGTCTCACCAAATACGAAATGAATATTAACCATAATCACCTTCGCATCTTTAACCCCAATCCATACAAACTCATATGCGAAACCCAATTTTGATTTGTATTACCAAATGCGAACATTTTTGCTTTTACACGTGAACTGCATTTGACTCCAATATTGAACAAATCACATTTCACAGTCCTTCTTGACTTCGCATTTTTCTTCACGAATCTGTTCAAAAGGTTTTTCATTTTATTTTATAAACTTTTAATTATATTTGCTTGTAAAATTTATGTTTGTTGACAAATCAATAACCCAATTAACCCAATATTGAACAAATCACATTTCACAGTCCTTCTTGACTTCGCATTTTTCTTCACGAATCGTCCCTCAATCAATAACCCAATTAACCCAATTGCGAATCCAAAATCAAAACTTATATGTTTTCACAAGAAGACAATTTCATTTGGCTGTATGTTTTGCAATGACTATTAACAAAAGTCAAGGACAATCGTTGTCAAAGGTTGGTCTGTTTCTGAAAGATCCAGTTTTTTCACATGGACAATTGTATGTTGCCTTATCTAGAGTTCAGAGTAGAGAGGGATTAAAATTATTAATTTTAGATAAAGATGACAAACTCAGAAATAAAACTTCCAATGTTGTTTATAAGGAAGTTTTTCGAAATTTGTAGCCAACTTTTTTGTAACGTCGTTTTATTCAATTTTAGGAAATCACACTTAATCCATCATATTACTGTATTTTTTTATAATTACGTATTGTTGTATTTTATGTTAATTTCATTACACACATTGGTATTGTATCATCTGCATATGTCCAATTAGAATGATGAATAAAAAAAAATAGTTTTCAAAAATCTTCATTCCTAATTAAATACTTCCCATTTAGTTAGTAATTAAATAATTACCAATAAAAAAAATTATTTAAATATTCAATATTACAATTTATAAGTTATCAGAATTATTGATATAATATTTTATTAAATAATTAATTTTTAAATTCAATTCAAAAACAGCACCCATAGATTCCACAGGTTTTAACCTAGTTATTTTATAAAACAAAACGTATCATAAGAATAATATCTATAGTTTTCTCTTAGAATGGTGGGAGCGAAAACGGTTTGGACTTCTTAACCAGTTGAGATGGCACTTCAGCATCGAAACGAAAACCATCTTTATTTTTTAGGTATTGAAAAAAAAGCGTTTGGTATGTATTCTACAATCTAATTAAGTTGGATGCAAAGAGAGAAAGTAGAAAGACGATTTGGAGCGTGATGACTTTAGAAGGATCACCATTCCTTAACGTTTTGTTACAAATCCACCCCTCCCCGGAGGATTGAGGGGTTCTTTAGGCTTCTATTCCCATCACCTTTAACCATAAGCCCAATCATAAATTATCAATTGTGAAACAAACATAAAAAAAAAAATAACAATTTGACGAAAAGGGCTAATATTTCAACAATTATGGATATTTTGATGTTACATAATCTTAATAACTGTAAACAAATATAATATAATTTAGATTCAAATAAAGAATAACATAGTTGATAAATACTTTTATTCGTATTATACAATTAAAAAATGTAAAAATACAGAAAACACCTTTATGTATTTTAGCTATAAAAAAATACGGTTGCCCTCTTCCCAAGACATCACCGGACCCCATGTGTGCTTCATTCAAATTTTCACCAGCCAAATTACAACCCGACCTGTTTATCCATGACCCGCATATCCATCACCCCATTAATTTCTTTCATTGCTCTACCTTCCAATTTAAAAGATGACAACTTTCTCTCTCTCCTCGTTTTTTCTCTCTCTAGACAGTAGCCACTGAAGATATCTTGCTGGCAACAATCTCGTACCCACCACCTTCTTCTTCCTTGTCTTCATCCTCATCATCATCATCGTCGTAATCATCAGTATTCTCACTACCTTGATCCTCCATGTCCGCCGTGGACTGTGGTTGCTGTTGTGTTTCTTGAAGCGCCGCCGGAACCCGCCATTGTTGTTGTGGCCAAGCTACAACCGGAGCGGTTTGGGTTTCGGGTTTTCCAGTGAAACCCGGATAATCATCCCTTTTCTCCACGTAAACACCATTAGTAGACTGTTGTTGCTGCGGCGGTGGTGTTTTTTCTTGCACCATCGTCGCAGGCGGCCATTGCTGCTCTGGTCGTGCTACGATCGCAGTCGCTTTCTCCCTGTAAATTGCATCGAGCTGATGGAAATACGGGCATGTTTTCGAATCCTCCGGCCTCTTTTTGTTACCATCCTTCATTTTCTTGTAGTATTTGTTGATGTTCTCCCATTTCTCTTTGCACCGTTTGGCATTCCGGTTGTACCCGAGCTTCCTCATCGCCGCCGATATCTCCTCCCACAACGGACCCTTTGCCGTGTTTTCTTGGTAATTCATGTCGAGTTGCGTTCGAAGTGTTATCAACGCGTTTATCTCCGCTTTCGGCCACCGTGATGGACTTGGCAATAGCATATTATCTCCTCCACTCACATCACCATCAAGATTCTTCACCATGGCTGACGGCGGCACCGCCACCTGCAGATTTTCATGACGTGGAGGTGGAGGCGGTGGTGGTGTTTGGTGGATCTGTTGTTGCTGTATGACCGGGAGGGTTGAGGCTAATGGCATCGGCGGAGCTAAAAAATCTACAAAACAACCGTGAAATTTATAAAACCAACTTAATTAATCCATGATTTTATGCTAAAATAACTTTTGAACAGTTATGATAACTATAGAGTATGTACGACAATACCTGCTAGCCTTTTTCTGGTTTCGTCCACCGTGTCAGGGTTTTTCCCGGTCATCTTCTGCAAAAATGTTATGACGGCGGCGTCTTTTGCAGCGGCGATGGATCTCTCCTTGACTAACCGATCGTGTTCTTGGTTCATCTTCGCAATTTCTTGAGCTCGCCATGCCTCCTCCCTCGCCACTCGATCTCTCTCCCGTCTCTCGATCGTGTCAAGAAACCTCTTTTGGAGTTCCTCTTGTTTCTCTATTACTTCCTTCATTAATTTCCCGAAGAAATCCTGCCATTTTCTCTTTTTTTGGGGTGGTTCATCGTCGGAAAAAGTATCCGACGAAGTGGCTGAATTTGTCGATCCCGACATGTTCGGTTGCGAGAACGGGAAAGTCCTTTTGTGATTCATCACCGGCTGTGGTGGCATCACTGCCGCTGGGGCTGCAACTGAAATCGGACTCACATTGTTCTGATCGGAGCCGGTGACAGTAATAAAAGGGGATGGAACAGTAACATTGCTCGACATATTTACCATGACTGCGGGTGGTTTCACGGCGGGAAAAGGTTGCGGAGGAAATGCACTTCTTGGGTTCTGTTCCAGAGCTTGTAATTGATCGGAAAAACGATAGATTTTGTCGGGTTTCGAAGTCCGGCCTTCTTTGGTTCGCCGGTGATACTTGTACACGTTCTCAAATTTCTCTCTGCATTTCTTGGCGCTCCGATGGAATCCGAGCTCTGATAGTTTTCTGACATCATACATTTTTTGCAAATTTATTAACAAAATGAACGTGAAAATTAACGCTAAATTAAGTAAAACAAGAACAAAAATATTCGAAAAATAAATAGAAAAATTATATTTCGTCGGTGAGTGTTTGGATCCATACTTAGTTTGAAGACGTAACATGACAAATTGAAGCAGATTTCGACAAATTTTGATTTGGGATTAACGTTTTCACATGAGATGAATAATTCTCATCAAA